ACTGTTTTCACAGTAATACAAGGGGTAGCGAGCACAGTGCCCTCCAACCCCCCTTAGAAGAGTACCAAGTACCGGTAGTGACATCGATTGCTTCCCCATCCCTTGTGCTCGTCTGCATCCCCCCCTCCCTTCCGTCCAGTTGGGCTCCTTACCTTGGTCCCCTTCCCTTCCCCCCTCCTTGAGAGTTCAGCACCCCCTCCTCGCCTCCCACTCTTCACATCCCCGCAGCATCTTTGCTTTCACTTTCTAGCACAGTGCCAGGGCCACCCGCGCCAGGAACCCTTCCAGGAAGCTGACATGAGAATGAGCTTGGCATCCTGAGCCGCTGTGGTCTACAAGCTTGTCACTTGAGTAGATTGCAACTCTCTTTCCACGTCTTTGGCGTTCTCCTGTCTTCACCACCAAGACTTCAGGATTATGATATTGCACATCACATCCTTGGAACAAGTTTGATTGAGGACACGACATCATGGCAAGAGTCATTGCCCCAAAGCACAAAACAAGAGACAATCCAAAATTTACTGCTATCTGCGGTCTGGATACACGAATACATGTTGCTGGTAGGCGTGAAGAGGTCTACAGCCAGTACAAGGCAGCTCCCAATGAAACATTCCTCGAAGCAGCGGCAGAGGTTGCGAGGGTTCTTGGAGGAATTCACGACAGCAGGAACGTGATGATGATCATAGGCGGTCAGATTGCAAGCTCAAGAATGCAACTGCAATGGCCGTTTCCTGCCGTGGAGTTCCTCGACGACCTGCACAAACCATCGCCAATGTATGTGATGGAAGAGCTGGTGGTGAGAGCAGTGAGATGGCTTGAGGGAGCCAGTGCTCGGGTTGTTGTGATGTTCGAGCCGGGCATTCTCTTTCCTTCACTTCTCATGTCAAAGCTGGGAAGATTCATCTCACCTTCTGCAGCAGAGTTTGCCATCACGCAGAGGTTGCTGCAGTCGCACATCAGGTTCCAGCCTCTATCAGGAAACTTTCCATCATTCCGTAGATATCTGCATCTGTTGGATGCATCCCTGATCAACTCAGCTCTGAACTACAAAAAGCCATCGTCTTCTATAGAAGTGGAGAAGTTTAGGCTCTCAGGCAATGAACGCGTGTTGAACATGCGAGTCATCATACGTAACTGCAGCAACTTGAATGCGCGCCACGAGTTTGTGGCGATGTCATGGCAGAGGTACGAAAGGAAAAATGAAAATGGAGACCAATTTTTCTGTGATATTTATCCAAAGACCTCGTTCAGTTTGATTGATGATGTGCAAGTGGACTTCCGGGTTCCACACGGAAACTTCCTTCAGCCTGTGGCTAGCTTGTGTTTCCATGCTGCGTTTTTGGATCGCAAATCACAGTACCTCTTCAACAAGGGCGAGCTCGACGAGTTCCAGTACAACGTGCCCTTTGAAAGCTTCCAGGTTTTCCCGATCCCACCAAAGCATGCTGAGACGACAGAAATCGAAGCGCAGCAGGCTGTGGAAGCTGCGGATGGAGACTACAACCTCCGATACGCCGAACTCTCCTCTGCCTCGACTAGAAGGAATTCAAGATCTTGGGAGAACTTCAACGTCCCCAACCCTGCTGGTGTGAGCAGTCAAGAGGTCGTTCCCGTCACTGTGTTGGGCTTGCAGGATTCAACCTCAGACGATGAGCAGCTGACGACGGCCCCCCCCAAAGTCCCTCGCGACCCGCCTGAACAACATGTACAGATCTCAGCCACAGTAGCTTCGGCACTGCACTCAACCTCAGAACAGCCTGTTCCTGCTGCATTGGATCTGCAGTGTGTGGAGTCAGAAGAGGATGAAGAGGAGGTTGGAAGTACCGTGGTGCCTCTTCAAATCTCACCAAAATCTCAACCCTCGAACACACACAAGATCTTCGGCGAGCACATCACGTGCACGCAGAAAGAAAGAGAAGAGCCCTGAAAAGCACACGATCACAAACTTTGATGACCCGAACAACTTTGAGTTGAAACTCTTCAATGACTTGATGGACGATGACAAGCCTTCACCTTCATCCGAATTTCTTCGCCGAACAGCAAGGGCTCACTGGTAAATTTCCTCATGTCTGCTGATTTTACATCTCCCCTGACACTCTCATTTCAGTTCGGCTCAATCAACCTGTACCCAAGATTGTTCAGGTATCGATGTTGAAGCTCGTTTGCTTCGTTTCCTGTATTGAAATGCCTTTGCTCGCAGCAGCAACAAGGGGAAGATTTCTGTAGACGAGATGACAGAAACGAAGAAGAACTTTCAGCTGTTCCTGGACGAGCACATTGGGGGGAGTTTGGAAGATCATGTGAAACACATGGACGAGCTCCGGCGACTCTGGTCTCTTTCCTTCCCGTCGATGCCGGTGCCGCCACGTCCTGATGATCGTTGGAAGATGCTGGGTTTTCAGGGGACAGACCCTGTCACCGATCTCCGAGCCATGGGAGCTCTCAGCGTGAAGCTGCTGTGTTACATGGCGCAGGCTTACAACAGGACCTACCATGAGATCCTCAAGGAGTCCTGTCCCTTGGGCGAAGACAACAAGTCCTTTCCCTTCGCCTGCGCTGGCGTCAACATCTGTTTCCTGCTGGTGGACGGCTTGAAGGTCTTCAGCTCTCCTCGCTCCTCTGGTCTGCTGACTCTCTGTCGTTAGCTGAAGACGTTGAGCAGCAGCCCGTCTCATAAGATTGACTACTCCGTGAAACGGTGAAAGAGACCGTCCCACAGGGGTCAGGAATGACGTTTTTTTTTGAAAGATGTCAGAGCACATTCTACGAACTTCTTCATGGCGAGCCCAACGCGTTCAACGAGATCTTCTGCTACACCTTCATGATCTTCGTGCGTGCCTGCGGCGATGGCGATGCTGCTGTCTTACACGATGCCGCAGGGGAGGGAGTGGAAGGCAAGGGGCGCCACGTACATGGACTTCGCAGACATCGCAAACAGGACAAGGCACATTGTCATGAAGGTGAGGAGGAGCTGGAGACGTGGAGGAGATGACGGTCGGCATGCAGGAGCTGGAGAGGAAGAGCTGGAAGAGTCTGTTCAGCCTCAAGGAGGCGCTGAAGCTCACGATGATGTGAGCTTGTAGTATAGAAGATGAAGTTGAATGAATAAGTTAAGAATTGAGTGTCACCTTTACAATCTCCACCCCTTTCCCTCCCTCCCTCCCTCCCTCCTTCCATCCTTCCCTCTCCTCCATATCCTCCCTCCCCTCCTCCATAACCTCCTGGTCCATCACAGAATGTCCTCGTCATCCTGTGTCGCAAGTCGCTCCTCGAGACGCTTCCCTTCCTCTCCCTGCCGTTTCGTCACCAGCAGGGGATGAAGGCGTTTGTTCCTACCTCTCTTGAGAGCGTCGACTTGATCAAGGTGAAGAGCGCAGACACGCTGCGATCAAAAGTCGCTGACCCATTCAAATCTCGCACCTTCCTTGCCGTCAGAGTTGTTTCTGCCCAACTCGAACCTCCCTCCCTCCCTCCCTCCCTCATCCCTCCTCCCTCCCTCCCTCCCTCAACCCTCTGTCCTCCTGCACTGCTTTCTTTACCTGTTTGTTGAATATATCCATGCTCTTGGTCACTACCGCCTCCTTCAGCTTATCTGCAATTTGCGCGAATGCAGAGTCCCGAAAGGAAAGATCAGCCTCGATGTATTCCTGGAAATCAGTCTGCCACGGACAAGTCACTGCAGGAAGAGGAGGAAGATGGAGAGAGGAAGGGAGAGGAGGAGGAAGACAAGTAGACCGATGTACCAGTGGAAGGGAGGAGGAGGAGGAGGAGGAGGAGGAGGAAGAGGAGGAGGAGGAAGAGGAGGAGGAGGAGGAGGAAAAGAAGGTGTTGGTGTCTTACTTGACGCAGGATAATCCCCTGATGTTCCCCCTTCGAACATTTACCTTGGTCGACACAGGAGGCTTCTGATTCAAACCTCATCGTACCTGCTTCCACCTTGAAGACTGCCGTTGACTGATATATCCATAATCTCAGTCTCGATCGTGCACCGCCTCTATATATCATCTCGCTGCTCCCATCTGCCCCCAAGCTTCATCTTCTGCTGTTATGTGATCATCTCGCAATGCAGTATCTTTCTCTTGAGCCATCGGCGCAGCTAGAGACTAGGAGT